TCTTTCTTTCTGGTCTTTTTTCTTATGGGTACATTTTTACACAGCTATACTTGTGATACTCAAATAATTGGTTTTTCAAGCATGTCACCAGACATGCTTGGTTTTTCACCTAACCTTATCTCGTCAGTGCTCTACCTAACTACTTCTCATTGTAAATATCATTTTTCCCAAAAGGTATTAAATACCAGTTTTTCATTCTCTAGATAAGACCTACAGCTCTGTCTTACACCCCAGTGAACCACCTAGCCTATGCAGAAGAAACTAATGATGGATGGAAAATAGAGTAGCCTGCTCTGCTCATCCTGTTGGTCATGGCTCACCAAGTTTGACCAGTGTAGCTGTGGAGCCAAGATGCCAGGTATGAGGGGGCAAGAATAGGAGGTCTGATCAGAATTAATAATACCTTAGCTATGGAGACCTCACATTCAGCCTATTTTAGCTTCTTCCTGCCCTCTCACTCTGCTATGAGTCCTCGAAGTCTGTCAGTTATCAGCTCTTTGCTCTAATTCCTCCTCTGCTTCAGTGTGCTCAGTACACCCACCCTACTCTTCAGCATCCATCCAGCAATAGTACTAGCTTCTGCCTAAGCCTGCTATTTAGGAGATGGCCTGTCTCCTCTGCCCCTGTGTTAAAGTTTTCCTATCAAGTTGTACTTAAGGCATGTCTTCTTGTTCAACACCTGTCTGACTGGTGGAGGAGGCGATTATGAGTAGTATGTTATGGATATATATATATATATAAAATCAAAAAAATTTTAAAGAAAGAAAGAGGGGAGAGAGAAAAAAAGAAATAAGGACACTTTGACATTTGATATCCCTTCCTCCATCTACTAGGAATGGTCTATGCCAAAGATTACCTGATTTGGGCAGGACATGTTTAGAGAAGTGGCTCTCAACCTTTTTTTCTGCCCCAATACATTTGACAAATGATTTTCAAATGTTCAGTATGCTCCAGTGCACAATTTCTAGCATAGATGCTGTAACTCTACCCCTTTCTCTCCCATACAGCCAAGAACATCTGAAGGGAAGTGACTAAAAGTAGCATATTATAGAGATAAATTTAAATCATCTTTATTTTTCATTGGATGAAACAGTCACAGATTTTGGCATATTATTTGGTGAAAAATCACCAAGGTTGAAAAACACTGCTTTGGAGAAAAGTAGTTATTCTTCTTATGAGAAAACAATTACTAAGAATCTTCTGATGAACAGCACAGATCTGTGTTGCAACTCAATTTATGGTTGGTCATAAGCAAGCTAATTTTGTGATAGATTTTACCTTGAACATAAATTAAACTTCCAGCTCCATGATTAAGCATTATGCCTTTCTCACTCTAATAAAGCAGGTAGTTTATTGGTTCTTCAAAATCCCAAGCCTGTTTATTATCCAGTGAAGTCATATAATTCTCAGAATCAGGAATCTGACTGTACTTTTGCTCTCCACTGACTGCCCAAAGGCCCAGTATTGTCTCCAGCCCCTAATCTTGGGTACTTTTGCCAGCTTAGAATTAAGGTTGTTTGAGAGAAACAGGGAAAGAGCAAGGAGGGTACAAGCCATCTCCCAAAGGAGAAGGGGCAATTATTTATTAGGCATCTCTACTGGACCCATACCGCAATACAAATTCCTTGCCCAAACTTAAGATGAGCTGTAAATATAAAAAGACATCCTAGGATACTCGAGGGATTTTCTCTGAGAAATGAGAATGATGGCTAATGTCATGAGTCCTTCCCAAATCCCAGGTGGTTAAATCAATTTGTGGCCTTCATATTTCCAAGGGATAGATGCAGATGACTAGGAATGGCTAAACAGCCTAAAAATCTTTCGGCAGTTATCTAGAGAGTTAATAGCAAAAAGCCAATGTCAACTTTAGGGTTTAGTTTGGTTGTAAATAATCCTCCCAAATGGACACTCTAGAGGGGTTTTACCCCTTGTGGTTCAAAATTCAGCTTTTCCCATTCTGTATTAAATTGTGTCCCTTTTTCAGTATAAAAACTGGTGCTAACCTAAAGGTGTTTTACAGTTTACTACTTTGTAGTAATGCAATGCCATATAGGATTAAAATGTTTATAAAAGATTTATAATTTTTGATAAAAGAAAACTTAAAAGTTTTATAGCATTTGTACCTAAGATAAAAAATCTTTGAGGGTAAGGTGTATATCTGCACAAGGGCTTGAGGAAAATGTGCAATACAAATGAGAGAATATATTGTTACTGAAACTGTTTCTTACAGGTACCTTTTAACTACCATGCTGTTGGAAGCCAGATTTTTAGATGGTAAATATCTTAGACTAGCAGACGTCTGTTGCAACTATCCAACTCAGCCATTGTACTGAGAAACCAACCATAGACAAATGGACATGACTATGTTCCAATAAAACTTTATTTACAAAATAGACAGCTTGATATCCAAATTGTACATTTTCATGAAGCATGCCTTTATTATAGGTAATTGTCATGTTAAAGTGTGACTTAAAAATCTAAGTGTTCAATACAAATTTGTGTAAGTAAAGCACATAATTTTTCACCCTACACACACCAAAAAGAGTAGATCTACCATATTCATTGATGTAGTTAGTGGTCATTTTTTTCCCCTGTGATGGTTGTGACAACCAGAAGTCAGCTAAAACACAGCTTTTTGTTGGAGGACCTGCAGCAATGTTCCTGGTTTGCACAGAGGTGTCTATTATGTGGAAATACAGAGAGTAAGGAGAGAGGTGCTCCAGAACTAGGGCATGGGGCAGGGTTCAAAGTAGGGGGGTTCCTCCCCCTACTTTCCCACAGCCCAAGTTTGTTGTTCTGATCCTGGATTTGTGGGGCAGTTTTTTGAGGGTTTTTTTTTTTTTAGTATTTTATTTATTTATTCATGAGAGACACAGAGAGAGAGAGGCAGAGACATAGGCAGAGGTAGAAGCAAGATCCATGCAGGAAGCCCGATGCAGAACTCAATCCTGGGACTCCGGGATTATGCCCTGAGCTGAAGGCAGACACTTAACCACTGAGTCACCCAGGCATCCCTGTAGGGCAAGTGTTTTGGGGACTTTCATCTACTTATTGTCCAGGTGAGATTTTCTTCTATATTTATTAAATTGAAAGATAGGAAAAGATGAAAAGCAAATATAAGGTGGTACATTACAGAGCCGGCCCAACGGTCACTTAGCCATGCAGGACATCTCTGGACAGGGAATACAGAAACAGTGTACCCTGTAACAATCTATTGGAGAACAGAGAGAGATTTCATCTGCCTGTCTGGTACCCAGCCTCCTAAGATGGTCCTTAACAATTCCACCATATGGGATCCCTGGTGGCTCAGCAGTTTAGTACCTGCCTTTGGCCCAGGGCATGATCCTGGAGTCCTGGGATCAAGTCCCGCATCAGGCTCCCGGCATGGAGCCTGCTTCTCCCTCCTCCTGTGTCTCTGCCTCTCTCTCTCTCTGTGTGTCTATCATGAATAAATAAATAAACAAATCTTAAAAAAAAACAATTCCACCATATATGAAATTTATATATATATATATATATATATATTTGTGTGTTCCTCATACTTTTTTTTTACAAAAATGAGAGGACAATTTATACACTTATTTCACTTATATGCAAGAGCACAGATATTGATCTCATCCTTTTAATGGTTGCATAGTATTCCATTATGTGGCTAAATCGTAATTTAATTAACCAGCCTCATGGTTACATTGTTTTCATGTTCTTTTACTATTACAAATAATGATGCAGTAAACATCTTTGCACATAAGTCTTTGTGGGTTTATCTATTAGATAAATTTGTAGAATAGGAAATTTTAGGTCAAGGGCTATGCGCATTTTACATTTCCTATCCCTAATTACACTCCAGAAGTTTGTTCTTTCTTATGTTCCAACCAGAAGTCTGTAATAAAGCTTTTTCTCCACATCTTTCCTAATGCATTCTATAATCAAACTTTTTTTTCATTCTGAGAAAGATTTTCTTCTAGAAAATCACCTCAAAACAAGGAAAACAGAGTTGAAAACTATCTTGGGGCTCCTGGGTGGCTCAGTGGTTGACTGTCTCTTTCGGCTCAGGATGTGATCCCAAACCAGGGACTGAGTCCTGCATCAGGCTCCCTGTGAGGAGTTCTGGGATTGAGTCCCACATCGGGCTCCTTGTGGGGAGCCTGCTTCTCCCTCTGTCTATGTCTCTGCCTCTCTCTGTGTCTCTCATGAATAAATATATAAAATCTAGAAGGAAAAGAAAAGAAGAAAGAAGAAAAGAAAGAAAGAAAGAAAGAAAGAAGAAAGAAAGAAAGAAAGAAAGAAAGAAAGAAAGAAAGAAAGAAAGAAAGAAAGAAAGACTGCATCTTAGGTGAAACTAAGAATACCCAGAACTACAGTACATGACAATGAAAGGTAGTTGGGAAAAATGGAAGTGCTCTGGCTCAGAAAATATAGTTCAGCCCAGGAGATTCCAGGGTTCCTTTGAGAGTTTATGGATGCCATCAACCATCCAACCATTGTCCATTCTTCTCCATCATCCTCAAATGCTGATATTTTATCCTAGATGTGTCAACTGAGGATCACAAGAGGGCAGCACTAGATATAAACATCACAGGGACACCTAGGTGACTCAGTTGGTTAAGCATCTGTCTTCAGTTCAGGTCAAGATCTCAGAGTACTGGGATCAAGCCCCACATTGGGCTCCTGCTCAGTGGGGAGCCTGTGCTCTCTCTCTCTCTCTCTCTCTCTCTCTCTCTCTCTCTCTCAAATAAATCAATAAAAAACTTTAAATTAAAAAAATATATATGTATAAAATATATATATGTATAAAAAATATATATATGTAAACATTACATTTGCACTTCTTATTCATGGGTTGAAGAGCTAGAACCAAGTTCTCACTTCCGGTCTCTTTAATTGGAACACAAATTCTTCCTCAAAAGACCCCTGGCAAATTTCCTCAAATACCTTATTAATCAGACCTCATCCATATGTCCATCTTTAGATGCAAAGTAGTCTAGAAATTCTAACTCCAGCGGCAGTTGATTCACCATCGCTGGGGCCTGCCCCAGAAGATCCAGGAGTCCATCCAACTGCTCCTGTCCCCCACTGATCAGTCAACTCTGTCCTGGAGCAGCACAGCCTTAGCCAATGTGCATGCTCCCCAACCTACGGCCCTAGAGGCCACTGGGGCCGGTGACCCATTCTCTCCAATCACAGACCAAGTACCAGTCCCCATGCCACACTTGTTTGACCAGGCTAAGGCAATATTGCAGAGCCACATCAACTCCAAATGTGGGCAGATTCACCAGGGCAAGGTCCCTGCTTGTGTATGTAGCTCTTGGCAGTGCATAATTCCTGGGGGCCTGCAAGTGGCTCCCTTCACCTGCATCCCAGAAAGCAAGCCCTTGGACCTACAGGCTGCAACTGACCCTGCCCTACAACAGAAAGCTGGGGCCTGGATACCAACGGCCCTTGATCAACAGCAAAAAGCTCCACCAGATGCTGTCACTGAACACACTAAGCTGCCCCAAGCCCTGTCCGAGGGAGCCATTGAGAAACTGGAGACGACTCTGAGGCACAAGTACCTTGCCTTCTTGTCAGGGCTGCCTGCTCTTTATTATGTGGCTCTCTCTAGGGCCATGGCACCGGCAATCTCTACCCAAGCTGTAATCACAGGAACGGTGCCTGGACCTGGCGAATTCCCTACTGAACCTCTGACTCAGATGATCTCATCTGAAGAGCAGTGCCTGAGTCCTGGGCCATGCTTTCAAGATGCCAACAAGACTTGTGCAGACGCTGCAGAGGAGCTCCAGGTGGAAGAACAGGTGGAACAAATGATCGAGGCGATGCCTCTAGAAAGCCAGGCAGAGGCCTCTGAGCTCTACACACTCAAAAAACCCATCTTAGCCAAACTAAATTTCCATCTAAGAAAGAAGATCCTAGAGATACAACTGGGAATTCCCATAAAGGCAAGGGAGTCCAGAGAACAAACTGGGGCAACCCCAGACAACACATCCACACAGGAGTCTCTCAGGAGTCTAAACAATCAAGGAAAAACACTGCTCCAGGATCTCCCCATCCCACCAGATGCTCCTCGTGCCCCAGATCCAGAATGGCTCCACCTGAAAGAACAGCTGGCCATTGAGTTAAAGGCAGTGCAGCAGAACCAGAAGCAGCCTAGTTCAAGAGCAGTACCTCATGGCTCTGCCCACTGGGCCTCCAAGATCTCACCGCCCAGCGGAGACATGAAGGAGGCCCAGGTGCTCTGTGTTCACCTGGAAGCCACTGCGAACAGCCCCAGCCTGGAGGAGCCCTGGAGCCCTGAGCCCCAAAGCCCTGGCAAGAGCAAGGACTCAGCCCAGGTCCCCATGCTGGCAGAAAAGAGAGAGGACCCAGGGAAACCCAAATTGGCAGGAGACCATGGGGAAGGGGATGCAGGGTTTGCATGCTCCTTTACAAGAGAAATAAGCGACCCCGATAAAGCCCAGAGGCCAAAAGGGATACTTCTGAATAGGGCACCCCGCAGCCCCCAGCGACACAGCCATAGCTTTCAACTTGCTGCTCCCTTTGAAGACAATACCCAGCATCACCCTCAGATTAAGCTTCCAGAGCCATCTCCAGGAATCCCTGGGGTGAAAGTATCTGAGAAGAATGACCTGCACGACAGTCAAACCAAGCTCAGTGTCATCCTCAAGCCAGCAAGGATTCCTAAGAATACCCAGCCTATGGTGCCCCAGGCATCAAAGGGCCAGCCTTTCCTGGGCCAACTCATTCAGGCTAGGCCTTTGCAGGGCCAAACTTTGAAAGGTCAGGTTTTGCAGGGACAGGAGATGCCAGTCCATACTCACAAGAGGCCCAGCCTTCCAGAAGCAGGCTTGAGAAGTGGGATGAAATCCTTCCTGTACTGTTTTAACTCCAAGATGAAAGGCAAAGGGCATAAGGAATCCATGTTCTCTAGAGCTGGGAAGGTGGCCAACCCCAGAAAAGAAAATGTACAAAAGATCCTGGCTCCTGCCAAAAGTCCGGTGGGGCAAAACAACACTCAGAAGACAAGAGGGGACTCCAAGGCCCAATCTTCCCTCACCGAGAAGCAGGTGGGCCTGGCTTTCTTGGATGGACCCCATTCCCCAGACAGTAAGCTCTGGCACCGCTCCCATTCTTACCAACTCCATTCTGCCTCGGTCCTGGGCCACCCTCGCCACTGCCCTCAGCACTGTCCTCAAGTGGCTTGTGTTACCCAACCAGAGAATGCACCCTAGATCTCAGCTCTCACCTTAGAGGGAAACGTTGGTCTGCCCAAGAAGACTCAATAAAATCAAAAGATTTTGTAGGCTCCCCAACATCTGTGTCCCTTGAAGAGGGCTGCTACTGTCATTTTCATTAATGTACAGGTGGGGCAGAGTGCCACCCAAAATACATCCTATGTCTCTAAGCAAAGAACCGTCTGTCTCCTTCTCTCCACTGTGGTGTGTTAAGGGAAGGCATGAGGGGAGGCTAAAATGTCCTTCCCAACTAGAGAAGGAGCTTTAACCCACACTTAAGCTGGGTCAGCCTTCCACACAACTCCTCCCAGCCTATCCTGGACTGTGGATAAAGGGGCTTGAGCAGAGAAGGAAGGTAAGCTACGTAAAGGTCAGGCTTGAATTCTATCATGGCTTTCCATTGGTGTCCTTGCGCCCAGAGGAGCAATGTGGACCTGAGGAGGATAGTAGTGACAAGAAGGAATGGCCAGGAATCCCACAGGCAGAATTCACTGATGACTCCTGTAAAGGCCCACAGTCTGCAGGGAAGGGTTTTAGAGGAGTGCCACAGTGCTCCAACCTTGAGGAGGTACTTTGTGTTTATCAAAAGCAGGTAGCTAATATGACAGGATATTAAAAGCAAATGATAGAATCTCCCCTCCTCTGCTCCCTGTTGGTAACTGGCAAGATCTTTCTGGAGAACTCATCTGCGAGGCTGATGTAACTCTCTTGCCCAAAGCTTGCCTCCACTGCCTGCCAGCTGCATAGAATGAGTGACTTTTGGAATGGCGATCACAGTAGGCCATGAAGAGGGGCTTGTCCCCCACTCCCAGGGGCTGGCAGGGAGAGAATCAGGGAGTGGGAGCATGTAGATGGACGTCTGAGTACCTGAGACAGAGGCTGACATGTTCCTGACCAGGGTATGATAAGGGAACAAAACCAATTTACTTTGCACTCAAAAGAGTTTGGAGCCAGGAAGTCAACTCAAGGTTCAAGTGCTTTGGGGGAAAGTAGGTGAGTACATCTGAGTTTCAATCTGCTTGCCCATAGTGTGATAAGGAACAATGGGTTGAGCTTTGTTGTCCAAAAGCAATGCAAATTAATTCAAAATCAGAACACTTACCCTCTACCCTACCAAACTTGACCCAATGTCTGGTAATGGTATTACTGGAAGTACGTTTTTTTGCTTAGCCCAAATATGAAGTTAGTCACTGAGTTGTAATCTTGATATCTCTCAACTTTCCTCTTTTCCTCTTTTTTACTGCCCCTGTTTATATTCAGTTTCTCTTCCATTCTTGTCAGAATAATTTAAATAATGGCTCATATCCCCAGGGCTTAGAATACTGGCTGGTCCAGAGTAGTATCTAAATAGTACTTGAAATAAAAGTCTGAACCTGGAGAATAGACAAATCACTACATTATATGATGAATTCTATGGAATGGGGGATCCTGTCACAGGAGGAAGAACTCAGCTGATAGGACCCCTAAGAAGGATAAGAATAAGAATGACTTTGAAAAGCATCTTATGTTCAACAATAAAAATATATGAGGACTTATACAATGGAGCTCATGATCTCATGGGATAGAGTCTCACATGCCGAAATTGTCTAATCAAAATATATGCTTAGGAGTCCAATATTCATCTCAAAATATATAAAAGTGAACAACTGATTCCTCACCCATCACTATCACATAATCACACATACATAATATGCTTCTATCACAGTATTTACCATGTCAGTGGCAACTCCATTTTACCATTTTCTTAGGACAAAAATTATGTCATCTTTGACCTTTTTTTCCCTAATAGTCCATATCTGATCCAGCAATATAATCATGCTATCTCCACCTACAAAATGAATTGAGAACATGACCACTTCTCTCTCTGTCTGCTGCTAAGATTAGTACAGTAGCATCATAACTTATTTCTCAGCTTCTTACTGAGACCATACCTCAACACTCTGTTCTCAATAAAAAAGCCTGATGGTCCTCAGGGAGGGTCCTGACTATGGATGATTAGATAGATAGATAGAGAGATAGATAGATAGATAGATAGATAATAGACAGGTAGATGTAAAACCATGAGATTGGATAGGATCACCAAGGGAATGAGTGTAAATAAAGAGATCTAAGGACTGGGCTCTGAGACACTCTAACATTAACAAATCAAAGGCAGAAAGGTGGGGGCAGAGGGGGGTGGGGAATGCAGGAATCAAGCAGAGACTGTGAAGTAGTAGCCCCTGAGGTAGGAAGAAAAGCAAAAGAGTATAATATACTGGAAGCCAAGAACAAATATTGTAAAGAGAAAGTGAGCAACTGCATTAAAAGTTGCCAATCAGCCAATTAAGATGACTCAGAGATGATAGTTTAGCAACATAGAGATCATTTATGCCTTGGGGATAGACTCAGGTGAGTAGTGGAGATGAAGGTGTGATTGGAGTGGATTTAAGAGAGAATGGAGGAGCAACTGGTGATAGAAAGTAGAATCAATGGTTTCAAGGGATTCTGTTCCACAGACAGGCAGAAAATGAGGGCGTAGAACAGAGCAAGATTTTTAAAAGTAGGAGACATAGCATGTTGGATATTGATGGAAAAGATCCAATGGAGAGGAATAAGTTGACGAGTAAGTGAGAGTACCCAAGAAGAGGGGTTGGCCTTGACTAAGCACAGACACTACACTGGTGGTAAATAAAGAGAGGAGACATTAATGAGGAAGGACTTTGTATATCAACAGAAGAGGGGCACCTGGGTGGCTCAGTCAGTTAAGCATCTGCCTTTGGCTCAGGTCATGATCTCAGGGTCCCAGGATCAAGCCCCAAGTCAGACTCCCTGCTCAGAGAGGAGCCTGTTTCTCCCTCTCCCACTCCCCCTGTTTGTGTGTGCGCTCTTTCTCTCTCTGTGTCAAATAAATAAATAAATAAATAATCATTTTTAAAAAGAAGAAGAAAGATTTCCCCAGTTAAGAGAGTGGGGACAAAGATCTAGAGAGGAAAAGCAGGAGCTGGGAAAGGATCATAGCAAGTAGGGGGAAGGACAAAATGGAAAGCCAAAACCAGAGGTGGAGCAGAATCCTAGAAATTATCATGATGAGTTATTTTTAGGACCCAAGAAGTCAGTAGTAGCATGTGAGCCCAGGTGGGCAGAAAAGTGGTAGAAGTTGGTGATCATATGTATGGAACAGTTGCTCTTGGAACACGGAAGAAGAGATGGCAGAGAAAGATCTAAATGCATAGTGCATAAAGAAGAGGAGGGGGCCTGAGACAGAGTAATAGGGCAGGTGTGGTATACTGGTGTTCACTCAGGGACTAGGGTGGTTTGGAGGTGGAAGGAGAGAACTGGAAGTCAAAAAGACAGAGGCTGCCCTGAGTGGATGGAAAGAATCTCTGTTTTGGACACTTTGTATCTCTCAAAAGGTAGCATCTCTGCATTCCCACATTCTGACCTAGCTCACAGGAGCCAAGAGCTAGAGGAAATACAGGAAGGGCTGTAGTTTTCCTATGATATGGTATGAGGGGAGATGGGACAACTCCGTCTTACTAATTCCTAAGGAAATCCAGGATGACTCAACATCCCTTCAAACCAAGAGGTGGTGGTAGGACTCTCTTCCACTGATATGATCCAATGTGTCCACTGTTAGCAGGATGCAGAAAAACCAGGATGGGAAGAAACACTCTGTGCCTAAAGGATGGGGGGCCCAGGCCCTGCTGTGGCCTTCAGGGTAAGAAGGCACAAAGCCCAAGCCTGCTGAGCCAAAAACCTCCAGGTGTTTTCCTAAAGCATTCCCAGAGATCACAGGAGGTCTTGTGACAGGCACATCCTCCCTGCCTAGTGGGAGTTGGGCAAACAGCCACAGAACAAGGAGACATGAGGGGGGACTCAGCGCGAAGGGAATAATCCAGAAAAGGTCACAGCAGCATCATGTGGGAAGCCAAGGTTAATGTGCACACATCCTGACTTAGGTGGAGCAGGTCCTACCTGTCCCAGAGTAGTGTGAGTTCATAGTGCTGACCAAGGTCTTACAACAAAGGGTTGAGGGCATAAAGATGAGCTGGAACAAACACCTTCAGGATTCTCAGTTTTCAGCAAAGTCAAGAGCTGAGAGAAGACAGAGGTCAAAGCCTGTGACTCATGTAGGATGATGTTGAGGGATGAAGCCTTGTTCATCCCATCTCATAACCCTAGCACAACCCCACCCTCCAGTTTTCCTAGGCTCAAGAGAGGTAAAAATCAGAATTTTTACAGAAACTCAAGCATTTACTACTCCAGAATTGGTGGTAGATGCTAGGAATATATCAGTGCTTGCTAGGGAACCCTGGAGTTCACCTCTGGCGCTCTGAGGTAACGTGTCATGGGGAAAGGTTCTGACCTTCTGGACCCCTTCCCTTAATCTCTGCAGAGGGCACCTGAGAGTTCTATGGAGGGAATTTCAGGCAACTGACCACTGCAGTGCAGAAGAGAGGCTTCTCCACAAAATCACTTCTCCTGTCAAACATTGAGTCCTAGAGGATAGAGACCATGACTGCTTCATTTCCGTACCTGCTTACCACGGCCCATCCAGGGAAGGCAGTGAACTCAGAATGAGAACAGGAATAAACCCCACAGATGCTACTTCCTGCACCATGTGAGAGTGGGCTGGGCTTCTTCTCTTTCCCAGCCATCCAAAGCCTAATGTTCCACTGGGCTCAGAGGCCCATGGCAGAGGCCAGGGCTGTCACAGAATGAAGAACAAGAATGGTTGCTGTGTCTGATGCAGGGAGAGGAAAGAAGGGAAGACAGCCCGGACTTTAGGTGGGGTATGAGGAATGAACACAATGTAAGGTGCTGGGGGACACAGAGGACCAGATCCCTATAGGTCTGGCTGGGCCTGCAGAGGACTGTTCATTCCTATCCCCAGAGACAGTGAGGCCAGGACCCTGAATACTTGGTCTGGATGAGAGCATGGGGAGGGAAAGGGGGCCTGGGAAGGGGCCAGAGGGAGATCTCCGTTTCCAGAAGGAGGGCGGGTGCTGCCAACTGCC